AGAACTTTATATTATAGCTTTATAACTAGTTTAGCTATCTAGTCTATCTAGCCTTACTTAGAGTAATTTATATCTATACCTAGTAGTCTATAATATAAAAAGATATTTAATATATTACTAAGAGCTATCTAAATTATTAAATAGCTAAGCCTTTAAGACTAAATCTTAAATATAAAGCTATATAGTACTTAGTAAAGAAGGGTATTTATCTATTTAAATATTAGGGAATTAATCTTATTAGGTATCTATCTATAATATTAAATAGTAATTAATAGATTATTATAGCTATTAATTATATAACTAGTTAGGTTATAGTAAAAGCTATACCTAATATAAAAGAGGATATATTAGCCTATTTTCTCTATAAAGATATCTTTATTAATTATAGAGTATTTAAGGAACTACTCTTAGATAATAATTCTAATCTTTTATTTTAAGTTATAGTAGCTTATCTTAAGATTCTTAAGATAAAATATTATATAATAACTCTAAATTATCCTAGAACTAATAGCAAGAATAAAAATATAAATAGCTTATTAGATAAAATATTAATAAAGTATCTTATAGATAAATTAATATATCTATAGGATAAATACCTACCTCTAGCTATCTTTACTACTTAAGTATATATCTATATCTAGATAAAGCTATTACTATTCTACCTTCTCTATAGTATATATTTATTACTATCTAGTTATCTATAAACTAATTAACTAACTACCTAAGATATTAAAACTTAATTATAATATATTAACTATATATAATCCCTAGCTAATAAGAAGCTATTAGTATATATAATTAAATAGAACTTAATTTAAGATAGTAATATAAAGGAATCTTATCTTATAAAAAATTAATAAATCTTTATTTAAAATAAGTCCTCTTAGAAGTTCTAATATAAATAGTTTAATCTATATAAGATTAAATAATTATATCTACTTAATATATATAATATTTTAGAACCTAATAGATATATAGTAAAGAACCTAATTAATAGCTAATAATTAGTAAAAGCTAATTTTAATAATAAGTTAAAGAAACTATAGATATTAGCTATATTAATATAATAACTATAGAAGGTAGGATTATTACTTTATATATTAATTAAAGTATATAAGATACTTAAAGAGGTTAAAGAACCCTTATTCTTATATAATAATCTTTTAAAGATAACTTAAAAGGATTAGAAATCTACTAAATATTTAGAAGTATATTTAAAGTAGATAAAGAAGGATATCTTAATAAAATAATATATTTAATAAATAAAGATTTAAGAATATATTAATAATATACTAATAGGAACTAGCTATTCTATATACTATCTAAAGAAGTTAACTCTAGAAAGTAACTAGAGTAAAATTAATTTAACTTTTTTAGATAATAAATTAAATAGAAGAATACTATATAATTTATTAAAGAATAATTAAATCTAATAGGATACTAATAGAAGAGATATAGACTTTAAGAGACTATTTATAATAATAATTCTAACTTATTAAGAGTAATTAGAGAAGGATAAGTTATCTAGTATTATAAGAATATTTAGATAGAAGAGAGAAGACCTATTTAATTAGAGTTAAAACTATTAAAAATAGCTAAATATAAAAAAAAATAATTAAATAAAAAAATCTTCTAGACTTTCTTAATTTTATTAGCTTTCTTAATAAGAATAATATTTAACTACTTTAGCCTCTACCTCTACCTTAAAGGCTAATAAAATTAGAAAATTATTTATCTTAATATATCTTATTCTTTAGATTAAGTTCTTTATTATTATTATCTACTTTATTAGAGTAAAGAGCTTTCTTAAACTTTAAAATTTTTCTATTAATAAGTTTAGAGAAATAAGTAAGATTCTTCTAAATTATTTAAAATATAATAAGATCTTTAAAATTAGATATTAATATAGGCTAAGAGAGAATAGTATATACTATCTAAAGAATAATTAAGATAATATTTCTTAAAAAGAGTTAGAGATACTCTACTTAAAGTAAGATAATATTTATTCTTTAGATTATTAAGACTAAAAGTAATAGAGTTAGGCTAAGATAGATTTAAATAAGAATTAGTAGTAATAGCTTCTATAGTAGAATCTATACTAGAAATAAAGAAATCTATAGTACTTAAAGTTAAAGTAGTATCTAAGATTAGAGAACTACTATCTAGTATTAAAAAAATTAAAATATTAGAGTAAATTATCTTAGCTTAAGTTTTCTCTATAGTAGTATAGTAATAATAAATACTTAATATAGAAATAGGATTCTTTTTAGAACTACTTAATTAACTTAATCTAATCTAATACTTTAAATTAATATTAGATATAGGCAGAATAGCTTTACTTATAAAAGAAAAGAAGTAATAATTATAATAATTTAAATTAAATTTAATAATAAGCTTAGGAGGAGTCTAATATAAAGTATTTAATTATTATTTAATAAATATATTAATAATTTTATTTAGAGATATATCTTATAAGGTAGAATTATTATTCTAAATCTTTAGTAGACTACTAGCTTATAGAATTATCCTATATAAATAACTAACTATTAATAAAAAGTTTAAAATAAAAATTTATATATTATTTCTAGAATTCTATTACTTACTATAACCTAAATAGAATTTATAATTTAAATTTTTTTTATATTATAGATAATTTATATAAGCACCCTAGAATAATACCTAAATTATATTATTTAAATTATATTTAGAAGATATAATATATTTAAGAAATATACTAAAGTCTATATATTACTTATAACTAGGATCTATAGTAATATCTTACTAATAGAGAATAATAGCTAATTACTAAGATAAATTAATAATTAGCTTAATTAATAATTTACTACTCTTACTTACTATAAGACTATTTAATATTATATACTATATCTAGGAGGGTAATATAGAATCTATCTTATTTTATTAATAGGAAAAAGCACTTCTCTATTATCTACTTAATAATACTATAATAATTAAAAATAAGTATCTTTAAATTAAGAATAGAAGTATAATATCTAAAGAGCTATAGAAGATAAATATACTTTATAAAGAGAAGAGACTATAAAAGTTTATTAATCTAAATAAATAAAAGTTAAGTTAGGGGATCTAATATTAAGATTTAGTTATAAAATATCTTATATATTAAGTAAGAAAAGTTAAGGATATTTATATTTAAATTATATATACTAGTAATAAATACTTACTTATTTATCTATACTTATTAATTAATTCTACCTTTATTAATTTAATTATTTATATATATATATAAATAATAATATTTACTATAATTCTTTATATAGTACTTAAGGATTACTAATTACTTAGATAACTTATTTATTAATATTACTAAGTAAGGTAATCTAATTATATCTTTTATATATTAAATAAAGAATATACTTAGCTACTACTATAGTAATTTTAAAATAATAGTATAAAGAATAATTTAGTTAATTCTATAGATTATTAATAAAGAAATAATAATATCTAAATACTAAATTTAGAAACTAATATCTCTTAGTAATAGTTATATCTATATAATTATACTAATAGGTGCTAACTAAGAACTCTATAAATAAAGTTTAATTTAAGTAGGGGAGGATATAATATTAATAATAGATATATAGCTTTAGAGAAGCTATATTAGGTATATAATAATATCTAGTAATTAATATTACTATTTATATAGTTAGTTAGATCTTATAGTTATTCTTAGCTTAGATTAAAATATAAAAGATAGCTAGAATCCCTTAAAGTAAAGGAGATATATATAGAGTAGCTACTAGCCTACCCCCTACCCTTATACTCTTCAAAGACTCCACATCCTTAACAACTATGAATATCCCAATAGTAGATTATGTGATCTGCTAGGTCTAAACCCTCTGCACTATTAGTATTGGCTGCATATGGCAGCTTTATGGTTCGCCGTAGCCCTTAACATCACTATTCTAATATTTAATTACTAAATAGGGATGCAGGCCTTAGTTAATTCCTAAATATCTCTTAAGAGCCTTCCAGGCTCATAACTTTTGAATTTAACTATGCTAGTAATGTTTCGAAATAACTAAGAATTTATATAAGATTGAAATTAAATAAAGGTCTGATTCTTTCTAATAAATAACTATTAAGGCACTATTTATGCTTTAAGAAAATAAAGGTATTCAGATTTAAAATGATTCTGCATTAATGAGATTAATTTGTAATCATGATTCCATAGAATTCTAGTGATTTCATGATTGTCTTGGCTGAATCCCTATACAGAAAGATTAAACAAAGGAATGGCTGAATTTCTCTATTCAGCAAGCTATAATTTAATTCAACACTATCTCTATAGGTCTCCCTAGTATAATGCAGAGCTCATGTGAACTACCATACTAGGCTTATAACTTTTGAATTTGACTATGCTAGTAAAGTTTTGAAATGACTAAGAATTTATATGTAAGCTCAAAATTGAATGAAGGTCTAATTCGAAATTTTCTAATGAGTAACTAACTAGCCCATATTTATAGACAGGAAATAAAGGTATTTAGATTTAAAATGATTCTGCATCAGCAAATTCAAATTTATAATCATAATTCCATAGAATTCTAGTGTGTTCGTGATCATCTTAGCTGAATCACCTATACAGGAAGGTTCAACAAGAGAATGGCTGAATTTCTCCATTCAGTAAGTGGTAATCTAATTCAACAGATGCTATATCTAAGGTTATTCTTATATCACCCATATCAGTGATACTTATAGAGGGGTCTACTATACCTAATAAACTCACCCACTCACTATTCTGATAGCTAAGTATATATATTAATTTAGTAAATATCAGTACCTTACAGTCAACTCATCATACTAGTTTATAATTAATAATCTGTAGACTGCATTTGCACAGTTAAAATCATTGGGCAGAAAATGATAAATGCCAAGGAGCAGGGAGGAATAGAGCACAACTACTTCATACAGACATCTTCAATTCTAAAGCTACTTAATTCCTTATACATCACCTCATTCACACAATGTCTTTCTCAAATCTTGTGTCGGATCTTGCCTTTAGGGATGCCTATGATGATCGCAGCTCTCAAATATCCCATGCACGGTCTCAGGCCACTGCTCGGTCATATACAAGCACAGCCGCTACAAGTGTCAGCATTTCTGGAGACATCTCAAGCCAGCTCCATGCTGGATACAGCCATCCATTGACCAGATCATGGCAAGCTGAAAGACAATTGACCAAGGTTCGTGGCGTCCAAGTAGTCGGTCAAATTCTCCACAGTTTGAAGACTACCACATAGATCTGAAGCTTCGTTTGATTGTGGTTTTTTCTGATTTCAAAACAGGAAATGCTCATATATCCATTATTCATCACTGACAATCCTGATGAAGAGACACCAATACCATCACTGCCTAACCAGCATCGCCGAGGTCTGAACCGCCTTGTTCCTTTCCTCAGGCTGCTTGTTCAAAAGGGACTGCGGTCGGTTATTCTGTTCGGGGTTCCACTTCACCCGACTGCAAAGGATGCCCTGGGTACTGCTGCAGACGATCCTTCGGGCCCGGTCATTCAGGCTATTCGTCTTCTCAGGTCACGCTTTCCTAATCTCTATATTGTGACTGACGTTTGTCTGTGCGAGTACACATCTCATGGTCACTGCGGTATACTACGAGAGGATGGGACGCTGGATAACGCTCAGTCTGTTGATCGAATTTCAGATGTCGCCCTTGCCTACGCTACTGCTGGTGCACATTGCGTCGCTCCATCCGACATGAACGATGGGAGAGTTCGCGCTATCAAACTGAAGTTGATTGAAGCAGGCTTAGCCCATCGCGTTCTCTTGATGTCCTACAGCGCAAAGTTCAGTGGTTGTCTCTATGGACCATTCCGTGACGCAGCCGGTTCTTGCCCGTCTTTCGGTGACCGCAGATGCTATCAGCTGCCACCGGGAGGCCGTGGACTCGCCCGGCGAGCAATTCAGCGAGATGTGGCTGAAGGCGCAGACATCATAATGGTGAAGCCTGCAAGCAGTTATCTGGACATCATCAGGGATGCAAAGGAGCTTGCAAAGGATATGCCAATTGCAGCGTACCAGGTCAGTGGTGAGTATGCTATGATTCATGCCGCTGCCAAGGCCGGGGTGTTTGATTTGAAATCGATGGCGTTTGAAAGTACGGAAGGGATTCTCAGAGCCGGCGCTGGAATTATCGTGAGCTATTTTGTACCAGAATTCCTGGACTGGCTTTAGCCAATTACTCATTATCTTTGTCTCGCCTCTCCTGTCATCATTGTCATGTTTGTAGATGCGCAAAATCACATCGAGTCAATTGAGAGAGAAATGGTCCGGATCATGTTTAATACTAATCAGATTGTATGGGGCTGTCCGAATGTAGCATAGGTACTTTGTGCCTTCCCTCTTTGCCCCTCTTTCTCTAAAGTCAACCTGGCAGGAAAAGAACTGAAGCATGAGGACGAGTTGTATTAAAACATGTACTCATGCCATTCCACCACTTGACGGAGAGGCCGCTTCGCCTTTTGGTAGACATGTCAGTAGAGTATCCTTCGGCATCTTAAGGGGCACCAACCTTTGCTTTCTCCCCCACTTCTAGTATTGTAATGCATGGCTCCGTTTCCGACCAGGCGAAGGTGGATAAAGCATGAAGAGAGACGCCAGACATACAAGAGAAGACTCCCGTGCAGATATTGGTTGGGTGCCAACACTCTATCAACGTGGGAACCCACGTTAATGTTGCAGACGCTACAAATGTGCATATCAACCAGACATTTGATGTTTGACACTCATAATCATGACGACATATCTTGAACGTTTAACCATCACATGTAGCTTGGTTTTAGACCCTGAAAACCATATGCTACAATGTCAGTTTTGACTACTTCGCCCGGGGCCACATAAGCACCACGCCGGAGACGCACACCGGGATATATTGTGCAACCAGCGCCGACGTAACAGTCCTCCTCGATTGTGACGGGGCGGCCTTGATAGCGGCTTTGAGAGCCTTTCCGTTCTTGCATGTTTGCATGGGCCATTGAACTGAGAATAGTGACCCGAGGACCTATCCACGTATGAGCACCGATAGTGATGGGGCAGTCATCCACGAAGAGACAGTTTTCTGATATCATAACGTCCTCACCAATGTGAATGTTGAACCCATAGTGGCATTGAAAAGGTGACTCAACAACAGCGCCTTGCCCAATAGATCCGGCGGGTCTCAGTGGTCCCACGCTCGATGGAGAACCAACAACCGAACCAGGGGGAATTAGAACCTCCTTCAGCAGGCGATTCTGTTCCTTCGCACTCAAGCCCGAAACAGGATTACAAGCATTGTTGAACCGCCAGATGGCGGCTTTGCATCGCTCGCGCTCCTCCACAAGATGAATATCGAAAGGGCGATAGAGCTCGCCGCGAATCATCTTGTCCTTTTCCGATTCTTCACTCACAGTGCGATTGGACAGCTGATGCTCAATACTAAGGGCCATCCGAGCCTGTGCCTGCGGGCTGTTCGTGTCCACTGTGCCAGTATGTGCCGGCCGCTGATCAATACCGCCTTGAAAGATGGACATCCCCGGTTTTTGATGTGATGCGTGTGATATGTCTCTGATCGACGGGACAATCTGATAGTCGCCTTTCGCATGTCCCTCGCGCGACAGTTCATGTATCGACGGGACCTCTCGATAGTCAGACTTGGTCACATGATCAGGTATAAACGTAGCATGGCCAGCATTAGGCCAACTCCGTTTAGACCATGGCCCACGAGCCGAATTTGCTCCTGTTGGGCTAGCATTGAACTGCCCAGCGGCACGATCGTTCTCATCGGTGACGATTGCCCTCATTTTTCCCGCGTCAAGTTGTTCCGCCAGAGTTTGCTGTCGCTCATGCTGTTGGCTCAAGTCATGCACGTACTGCGCCCCTAAATCTGGGTAGCCCTCTTTTGATTGCAACGGAACTGGAGTCTTCGCGCTTGAGGGTTTCTGCCACGTGCTTCGGGACGAATAACCTTCACAGAGGAAACCACCTCTGAGACAGTTGTTGCCTGTGGAAAAATGTTGAGCGACCATGGCAAAAAGAACGAAGAAATTCCGTATTCCATGATAAGAGGCGCGAAGAATAACTTACACGCAGGATGCTGCTCGTCGCATTTTTTTTTCCTTCTGCGACAAGTCATGCAGCCAGTTTTAGTTCGGTTGCTGAAGACGCGCTTTCGCTTAGGGGCGACTTGTATAGCCGCTTGTGGCTGTTCTTGTGAAAACGAATGTAACGGCTCTTTGGTTTGCACGGGCCCCTCTGTCGAGCGACTCGTCGCACTCCAGCTCTTTTGCTGTAAGCTTTGTCCATCATGGTCCTGGGACTCGCGCTGGAGTACCTCTGCCAACTGAGCATCTGAGGGGTCAATCTGTTGTGCGCGCTGTGCCTGTTGGACCAGATGTGAATCATAGTCATTCAATGAGGCATTTGCTGAGGCGGATCGTGAATCTTCATTTCTGTCTGATTGAGCAATTGATGGTGATGGATGCTTGAGATCATGAGGGCCAGGAGGTGACACAGCGATGTTGACAGCAAGCGGTTGGGTGTGGGACTCCACAGCGGCATCTGACCGTATGGCTGGACTTCGAGAGCCTTTAGAAGATGATGAGGGAAGTTCTTGACGCTCATCAATTTCTGATCTCTTCCTCTTGTTTGCACTTTGTCCTCCTGACAATGAGCCACTATGGGAGGTGGAACGCTGCATTGATCGTTCGTCCGGGTCATTCTCAGCGTTTCCGTTGTCTCTCGCGCGCTCTTCCGTATGAGACGGGGTGTCGAGTTCGACTCTGCCTTGATTATTCGATATCTCTTCGTTGCTAGATGAGTCGGCGGCAGTAGGGCCAACGGACATTGGCGCTGTGATTTCCCTTCCATTCACCGCAGTAAACCGAGGAGGACTTTGGTTCTCCAACTTGGACCTCTTCTCGGGTTCGTGACCATTCGTCACTGATGTGGACGCCATTGTGCTCATTCTCGAAAGACAGGCGGAGCTATAGTATCAAGATGACGCGCAGTTCTCGCTCCGCGGATCCTTTCAATCCGCCTGATAGCACTATGATAATTTGACAGATCGGATCTGAACCTGGAGATCTGTTCCTGTTGTCTTATATCTATTTCGCAGCGACCAGTGGGGATAGTAGCCCGAAACCACAAGAAGGGTGGGAAGACAAACAGCTGAAGTTCACTGGGATAGTCGCTCAGAGCAAAATCAATTCTAATTAGATATTGTGAACGTTGTCGCTGCACAAACAAATCACTTGCGGTATTCAAAATACTAGTTGAATAAGCATAACAAGTTAAACAAGGCACAAGACATGAAACGATTGGAGGAGTTGTTGGGTGGTGGGGGGAAATAGAGGAAGAACGAAGGTTGAAATTGCTTGGTTCCTTTCGACGACAGCGCGCAATGAGTGATAGCCAATATACGGAGGTAGAGAGTGCTATTGGCCAGGCATTCGGAAGAGGACAACGAGCCCGCGTGCAAATCAAAGTATCAATATTCGTATGGCGAGGAGAATAAGTACACCTTGGGTTGAGAGCTATAATCCGCAGTAGCGAGGGCAGAATGATGCGCAATGAGGGGTCAAATGGGATAAATAATAGTAGTATAGAGTAGTAGCCTGGAGACCAATATGGTGCACCACCATAGACAGAAGACGGCGCAGCTCAATCATAAATCATTGGGATCGGACGACTACATATGATTGATCTGACAATACCAGTAATATATATGTATAAGATAGAGGACAGATATGCCTAGGCACTACTTATCACACTGAAGAGATAACCTTGAAAATTTAGTAAATGTGAAATAGAGAAGCTTAAAGACACTCATGAAAGGCATAGAGAACAAGGAATAGAAGAGGGAATGAATAACTAGGAAGGATGTATCTAAGGACTAGATTACACAAGAAGTATTATAATAGAGTATAATAATATTATTAGTGTGAAATGCTACATAGTATGGTGCACAGAGTAGAAGTAAATAATTATAACTAAAAGTTCAAATTCAGAATGGTACTGAGCTAGTATAGGCATCAGATGCTTATCAGACACACTAGTACTCTGTACATCTCTCTCAAGTATAGAGTGGGTAGACAGATCACTCCATCTAACTATTCTGTCACTTCTGTGCTTAATTTGCATTCATGACTGTGTGACAAAACCTCTACATAACTGCTTATACCTTCTTAGCTCATACTCCGTAACTGGGCTACTTTGACTGCCAACTGAATAAAGTCAAGGCAAATATCAGGGGGTGCTATATATATCTAGAAATGCCAAGCCTCTGATAGTAACCACTAACTAGACTATAATGTGTAGGAGAAATTGAGTTTTATAGCATGTAGTTAATAAGACACCATCCTCAGTCCTGTGTGGTTATCTTTTGCCTGCTTAATGGGGTCATGTAATGCACATTTATATATATATATACTCTGTGCTGTAAGAGAAGTAATATGTGCAGCATATCTACTAAGTTATCTTTATGTATAGATAGAGTATATTTAATTCAGGGGAGAAATGATATCAGACATATATAACTTTATAAGTGCTTAGACATTCACTATATTAACTATCATAGGATAAGAGCAGATATTATATTAGCCAGGAATAGTTATCTATATATCCATCAGTCTAGTTAAAGACAGTAGGCCCCCTCTAATCTAAGTAACCTGTTGCGCAGGCACATAACTACCAGGTAACTACGGAGGCGTGCACCAAAAGTGTTGACCCATGCTAGTAAGCTTAGCTATATCCTGCTAATGCAGCCCCCTAGTAATTTATATAGCAACATGTCTAGAAGGAAAAATATTTAAATAAATCTATCTATAATAGTAATATAAAGCTATTCAGATGTCTTCCCAGTCTAGGTCTAGATCTTAATATCTAGATAGCTGTCCCTTAAGCCACCTTTCTAACTAATTATACTTAGGCCTATCTCACCCCTCTTAGTATTTATTCCCTCCTTGCAGCTTAATAACCTCCTGGATATAGTAAATAAGGTATTAAATCCATTACTAAATCTTCTTCTAAGGAAGCTTATTCTATGCCTTTATCTAGATAGCTTTATCAGTCTTCTTATCCTGAGGGGCTCTGTGTATGGTGGTCTATCTCTTTAGAAATAGCTAGTATAGTTTAATAGTATTTAAATTAGGTAAATTCCCTAGCTAATTTAGGAGCTGTTAAACTATATAGATATTATA